TCCCTACACAGTAGACTATACTGCATCTTGTTGGTTTCATTTGTATTGCTAGCAGAGTAATAGCCAATGGTGATCACTCATAATTTAATTCTTAAAGAGTTGAAGCACCATGCCACATTTACTCTCTTAAATTTATGGTAGGAAATATGTTGTTCTGTTCAAAGAGTCCAGAACTTCTAAAAATCAAATGCAGTCCTCATGCTCACGGTCTTTTGTCTTTGACTTACTAGGACGATCATGAACTGGAGCTGGAGCCCTATACCATATTTGTACAGAAGGAAAATGTGATCTATAACTCCGTGTCTGACCTAACAATGAGAGATAATGTTCCAGTGCACCTCTGAACAGCAACATGACAGTCCTGCTGAGGCTGACTTGGTCCCTCTGTGGGAAAGTGAGAGAGAAAACCCCTTCAGGTGGCTGGTGATGGAGAGCCTCCTCTCAAAGGATTCTTCACAGGATTTTGTCAAGCAGGGTTTTCCATCATTGCTAGATACCTTCAGACATGCTTTACTTGCTGATCTATCCCTCTAATCTCCTCTCTTCTATCCTGTCCCCATGTTGGGAAGGGAGAAGAGCTGTGAAGGACTGAGGGAACTACTTACATGATTTTCATTATGAGAGTATTGCTGACTTGGCCATCCTCACCTCAGGAATCCCAAGCCTGGCAGTCACTCTTCAGCATTAGTTCTGTAGACTTGACACTATACTGCATATATTTGGGAGCAGGGAGGAGGGGTGAATGAGCTAGAATGAAACACTCATTGTCAACAAGACCACCATATTCCCAAGTTACCAGCATAAAGACTCTATTAGTGCTGGTCATCACAGTAGAGAGGTCAGTAGAATAGCTCTGCATCTAGGTGGTCCTGAGAAGCAGCAATGATCAATGGAGAAAGTCCATGGATAAGAGTAGTCCCTGATAAGCAAAATAACTTCTCAGGTCCCCTATGCTATATTTCCACAATTTTTTTTTCTAGTCTGCACTTACAAATTATTTTCATGGGTTTTATCACAGTTCTGTGGAGATGGAGCCCAGCTTCCCCTTCTTCCTGGGTGCATGAGCATTAACAAGCTGCAATAGAACCATGTTGGCCCTACCCCACAAATCTCTAACAGTGTCAAAATACTAAAAAAAGAAACAAATTTCCATAATGTATCTGACTGCAATTGTGCAATAATACATAGGGCTATTTCTTCCTGGCTTCAGCCGTTTGCCTTAATTCATAACCTATGCTAGCCCGTTATTATTTATTTTAGCTAATGTAATTATAGATGCCATTTTCACATCTTTGACTCTTAGTAAACTGTTAATCTAAACATCATTGCAGCGGAAGGGTACTTTGTATGAAAAAGTTTATCCATGGTGAAGAGGTAATCTTTTAATATAATCAAAGCATCCATTTGTCCATGTGTTATGGGAAAAAGCATTTGTCCTCTGTTTCAGTGTCTCAGTTTTGACAGGCTGGTGACCCAGTTTCAGAGTTAAAAAAAATGTGTCACCCTCTCACAGTTACTATTTACTATCAGAGGAAAGAGCTATATTGAGGAGGAGCCTGCATAATTTATCTGATCATGTGTCAAGAGGCTGACAAGGAGACACAAGGAGTACTTGGTCCCAGTAGGCTGAGGTTGCACAGGAAGTGGGAAAGCATACTTCTATTTTAGACTAGAATAGAGGTTTTAGTGCCTCATGATGTCCTAATTACCTTGTGGGACAGCCTTGTGGACTGCAGCAGGTCATTGCTTGAGAAACACTGCTCTGGAATACTCAGCATTTCCTAAAGTAATCAGAACTTGTGGTAGAGGTAATATCTTTTATTAGACCAACTCGATTTTTGGAAAAGAAAAATCTTTAATTGCAAGCTTTTGGGCACAAGCACTCTTCTTCAGGCATAGGAGAAAAGATTGTAGAAGTTCTCTTAGATAGAAATAATTTATCCTATATAGAAATGATGCATCTCCTACGCATTTTACTAGGCCAAGCTGCTGTAAATAGTCTTAAACACTAATCTGTTCCTTCCAAAACATCTAACCCCCTTTCACCAACCTTTGTGACACAACTGTTTCCCTTCTCTATTTCTGGTATGTCATTGTTCCTAGAGGTGATCTGAAAGAAAGCCAGTATTCAAAGTGAAGGAGTACACCGAGTTTGAAATTTCAAATGAACCTCAGGGGCCTCAGCACCTTCCTCTCAATGAATAATAGGATATGGTCACTCATTCCCCTCAGGTTCCTTTGAAAGTACCAGCTATAATAGGTATGGCACTGAACTTAATGGTTTCCCATCCTCATATTGCTAAAGATCTTTTAGCCTCTAGGTGTTCTCCAGTCACCACACCATATAGTCAGCAACATGGCCTTGACATGCTCCTGTGAGATTGCAGTTTGAGCCCAACAGTGTATGCCAGACTTCTCTTGCCATGTACATTATCCTGCATTTGTTTACTCTGGATTTCACCTTTCAGCCTGCTGCCCTGCTGCACCTGCCTTTTGGTACTCCTTACAACCCTGCATGCCCAGGGCCAAGTTAGTTACCTCTGATCTGGGCCTTGAGTCTTGTGATGCTGACTAGCTACTCACCCTGTCATGGCTATATACATTACAGCTAATCTGTCCTTCCAATAGCAGCTAGTTGTGGCACATGGTTGGATGGCCTTGGTCAAGAGCCACACAGGTTGTTTGTATCTACATGCTCACTCTCCAGTGAATAGTGATGCATAGAAGGGGCATGAAGGTGAGGAGGGGGCATGTGCCCCACCGAGATTGGCCCTCGCTGGCTGGGGAGTGGGCGCTCTGAGAGAAGCACCAGTCAGTGTCCCCCGCCCCGAGATAGGCACTGGCTGGGAAGTGGGGGCACCGAGAGAAGTGCTGGTGGCACTTTTGGTGTTGCCACCAACTTCCAGGGTCAGCTATCAGCAGCTGGGGGACTCACCCCCCAGAGTCGGCAATCAGCCGCAGGTGCCCCCCCAGACTCAGGAGGCACCAGTTGCCCATGCTCCAATGTTGGCCCAGTGTTACTGCTCACACTGTGCTGGCCAACACAACAGCAGGACCCCCTCTTTACTGCTAGACTAAAAGTTGCCATTTAGCCACATGATTCTTTAACCCAAGCTAGGACTTAGCTGGACTCTGAACAACAAGATGTAGGCCACAAATTGCCTCCCTTATTCAGAAACTGGAAAGCCAGTATGCTTGACCATGTGCAAGTCAAACATCTTCCCAATGCATTCATCATCATCATCCTTTTTATGCAGGAATTGTCATTTTGGAGTGGAGGCACTGGCCTTCCCACCCAGGTATTTCCTTTTTCTTGCAGTGCTGCGCCCCTTTTTTGCAGCTACCTTACAATGATGATGTTGAATTGAATGATGTTCTGAATTTGCAGTTACTTAGGGGCTCAGCCATGCTTGCTTCTAGAAGTAATTCCTGTGTTGCACATTTGCAAGAAGCATGTTCCACAATGGGCTGCTCCTTGAAAGAACTTCTTGTGATTTACAGTGTCTCTCTCCATATCATCTTCTGATGCAACATTTATAGTTGTTTAGTTCAAGGCACTTCTTGACTGATGCATTTGACAGCTTCATCCTCCACCTCATTTGGGATTTGCCATCTGCCACCCTTGTTCTACAACAGAGTCTAGAATTCCTTTCATGAATAGTGGGGTTGGAAGCAATGCACTGAATAGTCCCCAAATTTGTGTTTTTCCCCAAATTTGTGTTTTGATTGGATGTAGGGCCCCATTAGTTGCCTAATTGTTTTGTCAAAGCCAGGACTCAGTCACAGATCCTGGGTAATTGTTAAGCACACAGTTTCCCATTAAAGTAAATGACAAAATTCCCCATGAATTCTATACACATTTTCCCCCTAGTTCTCTCATTGACTTACTACATACACCTTGAGCAAGTAACATAGCATCTCATTTTAGGTCTGATCTTATTCCCACTGAAATCAATGCCAGAACTCCCTTTGACTATAATGGAAGCAGGATCTAGTCTTTTAACCCTCATCAAAGCAACATGCAAAATGGTGGTGCCTATCTGTAAAGCATTTTATTCCTGGGCCAAAAGACACCATATCACCCTTCTCACTCCTTGCATAGCCTTGCTCACCACTTAACCCATTTACAGTTCAGTTCAGGAATGACACTATCCCTCCATCCCACAATGCCCTCCCACCACATTTCAGAAATGAAAACTCTGCCCAGAACTCAGTGTCACCTATTCATTCTTATCTCTTACTACTGAGAGGGCTGTTAGTAACTCCACTGACAGATGTCATAGCCTGATTTGACTGTTGTACAGCACAGACCATGCTGGCTCCAGCTGCTTGTTTAACAAACCCCAACCTCCCCTTTCCCTCACTAGAATGTAAGCATTTAAGTTGCCTAATGTGGCAACCTAATTTGGAAGACTAGACCAAGGTGAACCAGAATGTCTACTTAAAGCCAAGTTTCCTTCAGGCACATAAAAAGCCTGTAGTGTTTGACCCTGTGAAAATAAGTAAGGGTAAAATTCACTTCCTAGGAGTTTAGTGCATCTATTTTTTTAAGAGGCCATTTTTAATCAAATGCTGATTTTTACCAGGTTTGGAGCACAGTATTTATCTTTACCTAGGTACCTGTATTTTTGAAGTCACATTGTGACTTCCTTTCTCCCAGTTTTCAGCCTGCTGAAATTCCATAGCTTTGCAGTTGCTACCTCCCCTAGGCAAGTGAAAGATTGTTCACAGCCTCACTGCTGAGAGCTGTGAATTTGCTTCATCTTGAGACTAGTGGTAGTTTCAAAGGTTTCCCTCCTGTCTTAAAGGAAGTTTGAGGTATTTAGAGGTGTGTGGGGGAAGGGTTTTTCTTTTTTATGTTTTACTTGTTAAATTGTAGCTGATACATCCTGGGAATAAAGAGCTTTATAATGGTACTGAGGTGAAAATGTCTGCTCATTGTTCTAAGCCAAGATCTATAAAGTCACTAGATGGCACTAGATACTACAGAAGAAGAATTTGCCTTGTAGATCCCACATGCCCACCCTCAGTGTGCTGAAACTCAGTGGGTGCGTCTACATGAGACGTTTACTGAGCAGTTGATAAACTGATGTGTACTGCATAGTGGCTACACATGAGCACCTAACGTGTAGGTCACACAGAACTAATAAACTCTACAGCGGGTGAGACTTGTAAATACAAGTGCTACCCTGATGTGGACTTTTTTTGTGTGCAGCCATGCACATGTAGACGTTGAGCCGAATGGCTGGGGTATGAGCCTGCTTCAGTGCAGGGGCTACTGTCTAGCTAGCCCTGTACTGAAGCATCCTTGTGCCCCAGCCAGTTCCTCCACAGCACATTGATC